GACAAGAATATTTTATTTTATCATATAGGCCATGAAAAAACACAAATAAATATAAATTCCCGTGAAATTAGAATAGTNTTCGAGCCGATACATTGTTACTCCCTCCGTCCTATAATGATCTTTCCGGTTCGCAAAACGAAGAAAAATCCCAAGTTTTTTCAATCTATTTTATTTAAATATTGGTATAGAAATAAAAAATAAAACATACATATTTAAAAACTACACCAAAAGTTCAACAAAACAAGTGGTGACAAGAATATTTTATTTTATCATATAGGCCATGAAAAAACACAAATAAATATAAATTCCCGTGAAATTAGAATAGTGCCTTGGGAAGATCATTATAGGACGGAGGGAGTACAAACAATCTTACGAGCCCCATCCAAGAAACGCACAGCTTCAGGGGCTAAGGAATAAAAAATATCAAATGCAAAAGGAACAAACACGTCTTGATTCTCGAAGTAGGCAATTACATATTTAAAATATAAAAATTACATATTTAAAAAATTTAAAAAAATGCACGAAAAAATCTACAAAAATAGATGTTATACGACAATATTATTTTATAAAATTGACAACAAAAATACACTAACAGATTTAATAAAATTTGATAACTTGAATAAAGTTTGATGTTTAGTTCACATTTGATATCTTCCGTTAACAATTTTGTTGTGATTCAAGTGAGCTTACACACACTAATCTTCCCCAGCAAGCAATGCCCTTAAAGAACCGCCGCCTTCGACATCCGTTTACTTCTCCTTATGAAACGGTGTACCTTTTTCTTTCATCCCTTTTATTTCATTCATTGTTTACCTTTTCATTCAAATGCTAAAAGGAATTACAGTATGAGGAATAAAAATGCTGATATTGATACCTATGCAATTTAGCAGCATTATTTTGCCAGCAAGCTGTTCGATATAATGTCAAAATGAAATTTTGGATCAAAATGCAATCTCAAATTCTGTTTTTCTATTCAGCATCATTAGTTTGGTTGATGTCCATTAAAAAAACATAACTTCTCTTCCTTGTAGTAACTGATGTAAGAACATAAACCCATACATGCTGCTTCGAAGCATCTACTATTTCTTACCTTCCCCATCCAAACTCTCACTGCTCTTCTGCCCACACTCCCATACATTGAGCCATTTTCCCCTCAAGCTAGGTAAAAGCCAAGCCTGGTTCGGAATTCGATCCTCCTTGAACAGACCAACCCATTTTTCTGTGGTCTCGCCTCTTATCCAAGAGAGAAAAATGATGACATCTTGCAAAAAGCTGTCCAAAAAGGCACGTTATGGAGCTCCCGAAAATGTGCTTCGCAATAAATTAGATCTTTGCTCAAAACACGGTGACTTGAAAGAAGCTCTCCGCCTCTATCATGAAGCTAAGCTGAATGGAGTTTCATTGAGTGTGCACCATTACAATTCTTTGCTTTATTTGTGCTCGGCTTGGAGCTGTAAAGATGATGCAGAATCCAAAGATTTGGGTATTCAGGAGGGGTTTGATATCTATAGGGAAATGGATTTCAAGAAGGTGGCTCCAAATGAGGGTACGTTCACTAGTGCTGCGAGGCTAGCTGCTGCTAAGGAAGACCCTGTTCTGGCATTTGATCTGGTGAAACAGATGAAGAATTCTGGGATTCCTCCAAAGTTGAGGTCTTATGGGCCAGCCTTGTTTGGCTTTTGCAAGAAAGGGATGGCGGACGAGGCATATGAAGTTGATGCCCATATGGTAGAATCAGGGGTGATCGCAGAAGAGGATGAACTTTCCGCCCTTTTGAGGGTTAGTTGTGGGACACAATGGGATGAGAAAGTGTATGAAATGATGCATAGGTTAAGGGCATCTGTGAGGCAGGTGTCAGAAGATACTGCTGCTGTTGTTGAAGATTGGTTTAGATCCGACGCTGCTGCAGGCGTTGGAATAGAGAAGTGGAATGTGGAGAAGGTGAAAGAAGTTGTATTGAAGGGTGGGGGTGGGTGGCACGGGCAAGGTTGGTTGGGGAAGGGAGAATGGGAAGTGGTGAGAACTGAGATGGGTGAGACCGGTGTGTGTCATTCATGTGGAGAAAGGCTTGTAAGCATTGATATTGATCCAATCGAGACTGAGAAATTTGCTAAATCTTTGACGGAGTTGGCCTCTAAAAGGGAGGCCAAGAATACATTTCTTCACTTTCAGGTATGATGGGTAATTTTTAATTTTAATTTTTTATGTCGAAGTTTTTCAATATAGTTAACTTTGTATGCTTTTTTTTAGATATTTCTATCTGATTAAACTTCAACTTTATGTTTGGAGATATTATGATGCCTGTTTTTTTATCTGATGAGAAGAATAATGCATTGTTTTTTAATGTGTGATGTAAATACATAATCATCATCATCACCGTGTAAATTTCATTCAGTTTTACTGTTTGAAACTAATACTCCGTATATGAACTACCATTCATTCAGGAGTGGCTTAAAAGGAATGGTCCATTTGATGCTGTGGTAGACGGAGCAAATGTTAGTCTTCTTAATAGCCAGGAATTTAGTTTTTTACAGGTAGAGAAAACTTTTCTTTTCCCTACTGTTTGTGTCCTTGTATCACCTTACTTATGTATCCATGGGATCTGTTTGATGGAGGGAAGTATATAGACATCTTTTGTAAGTTGAAGGGCGGCGATATGACTTGCACCTAACCTTTTTTTGCTCTTTTGTTGTAGCTCAAATCTGTTGTAAACGAATTACATCAAATAAGCAAATCAAAGAAGCTGCCACTTGTTATTTTGCATACGAGTCGTGTGACAGGAGGACCTGCTTTGCATCCTAGGAACAAGAAGCTATTGGAAAGCTGGAGAAGAGCTGGTGCACTTTATGCAACTCCGTTGGGTTCATGCGATGATTGGTAATATTATTGAACTTTTCTTTTGTCTCTCTGCACTTTCTCCAATAGAGTTAAGATCCGATTTGGTCCGCTTTCTTTTGGACTCAATTTGGTCCTTAACTATGCAATTCGATCAGACTCAATTCTTTTCCCATTCATATTTGGCTCTAATTAAGGAGTATATTTTCGTACACCAAAGATTACATTGTGTTACATAGTTGAGGGCCAAATTGAATCCAAAATTGGGTATAACTTAGGAAAAATTTGAGATTATGAAGAAGAAAAAAACAAATCTCAATCGTGATTACCACCACTGGTGGCCAGCTTTGTGATTACATTAACAGGTCCACTTTCAGTGAATATGGTTTCAGAAATTGAAGAACAGTTTAACTTCATCTGCAGGTATTGGTTATATGCCGCAGTTAGTAGTAATTGTTTGCTGGTGACTAATGATGAGATGAGAGATCACATATTCCAGTTGTTAGGGAATGGCTTTATCCCCAGATGGAAGGAAAAACATCAGGTACATACCATCCTTTTGATGCTTCCTCTTATGGTCAGTTTGGATGGAGGTATCAAATTTCAATTCCCTCCATCCAAACAGGCCCTTAGGGGTTGTTCACATCTCAGGATGAATTGGCTTCTCTTCTTGCAGAGAAATCGCGTTAATTCGTTGTATGTGTGTTTAAAATGATAGATTCGGATGACCGCATCTAGGGAAGAGGGAGTTAAGCTACGCATGCCTCCTCCATATTCAATTGTTATACAAGTGAGTAATATACTTTTATATACAACAACTAGTTGCTTATTCTTTGACAACAAAAAAAATAATATAGTGAATTGGGATTGCTGATAACTGGGAATGAAATTGCAGGAGTCGGAAGAGGGCAATTGGCATGTGCCGACAGTCACCGGAGATGACCTTGAAACACCACGTCAGTGGGTGTGCGCCCGCCGGAGGAGGAGAAATCAACCACTGCACACTCTCTTTTAGTAAGCACATACGCATACATATGTTTTCAAGTTCATGAACATCAGGGGAGATATTAGGAGGAAAAAAATGTTTTAAAAATTTACCCCTTAAAAAAATCTACTCTATAATTTAAAATTACCCAGCATTTTATCATCCTGTAATTTCGTACAAAATTGAAGTTTAAACAGTGAAGTGGAAAATGCAGACAAATTTAGACTCCAATATTGTGTTTGTTTGTTTTTTCACCTAAACCTTTCATGCTTTGTTAAAGTGCTTTTTCATATTCAAGAAAATAGAGTAGTGGTTGAAACTTGAAAGCTTTACTTTTCATATATATTTTTAAGCAAGCGTTATTCTTAAGACTCTTGCCGTGTTGCCTGACTCACCTTCACTATCATCCTTGAAAAAAATAAAACTAAAGAAAAAAATGGAGATATGATTGTGAACTTTAAATTATTTATTCGTACCAAATATACATGCATATTCATCAGGGGAAATGTGTCTGCCCCACATATTGGAAAAGTTAGCATAAAGAAATGGGTCATTGGTTGGAGTTGGTCTTAGCTGCTGCATTAGCCTATGTATTTTTAAAAAATAAAACTTGTGGCTCCTAAAATAATGATAATTTACCTGCTAGATGCGGGTCCTACAGACACCTATAATAGGAGTGTGAAACCACTAGAATCATGACAATTGTGCGACATTAAAATTATTAGTGTACATTTTGTCATGATCATAGTGCACAATTATCACAATCTAACGGGCGAATTGAAACAAAAAAAGGATGAACCTCATCTCTAGAGCTCCCTTAGATAAGGTAAATTTTGCTATAAGTTTAGTCTGACAAATAAGGAGTATTAAATGTTCCAGGTACATGCATGGTCTCCATGTTTACGTATAATCGGCCTTCATCGCCGTTGTCAGGAGTCAAACCCAGACATTACCTTTTTTTTTTTTGCCATCTAAGCTACACTCATGGCACTTGAGTGGGTGAATAAGATATTGAGACTTGAGGTTCATGCCTATGTTAAAAAGTCAAATGGAGGTGAAAAGTAATCCAATATGTTTTGATCTATGGTGTCTTTCAAAAGAGCTAAGTAAAGGGAGTCTTCCACTAACATCATAGCATCCTATATTTTATTATTACTATACCAGAGCCTGAAACGCAATCCCAAGTCTGCCAGCCAATTGCTAAAAGCCACAAAGGCAGTGACAAAATGATTGTTAACCCTTCCATTGATTGATTTGGCAGGAAACCATATCTTCCCCTCTCTCATTCCTTCCTTAGAATCCTTACCATTATATATATATATATATATATATATATATATTTCTAAAACTAACAATTCCCATAACCCATCTTCTCCCTCCTTTACTCTCTCCTTTTTTTTCCTCTGCAGATGTCTCAGATCACTATACAATCCCCCAAACACTGCTCCAAGAGAGAACTTACCCTTCACAGGTTCAGGTTCAACAAGAAGCTCTTCCTCTCCTTCCTGATTTCCATTTTTGCCCTCATCGTCATCGTCTGGCTAACCCTACACCCCTCCAAGCCGGAGTTCTCCCTCACGGCGGCGAACATCAACCAACTCAACCTCACCGCCTCCCGCCTTCTCTACTCCTCCATCCAGCTCACCCTCCTATCCAAGAACCCAAACAAGAAAATAGGGATATACTACGACGAAATGCACGTGTTCGGGTCCTACAAGGGGCAGCAGATAACAGTTTACAGTTACATCCCTCCCTTCTATCAAGGGCACGAAGACACCAACCTTGTTTCTGCAGCTTTGACCGGGAACGGACTGCCCGTGGCTCCTTCGTTTAGCTACGAGGTGGAGAGGGATCAGACTGCCGGGAGGTTTGTGTTGGTTGTTAAGGCGGGTGGGAGGCTGAGGTGGAAGGTGGGGACTTGGGTTTCTGGGAAGTATAGGTTTAATGTTAACTGTGTTGCCATGATGCCTTTGGGAGAAACCTTGGGGTTGAGTTATACTAGGATTAAGCAAGGGAGTCAATGCTCTACTACCCTTTGAACAAGATGATGAACACTTTTAATACCTCTTTTTCTTCATTCTCTTCATGTCCATATTGTGATTTTCTTTTACTTTCTTTCTTTGAGGTTTGAGTTTTTTTTTAATAAAAAAAATATAATGCTCCTAATCATGATTTGGTGTTTGTGTATGAGATTATAGGGAAAGCAAAAAAGTAATAAAGGGGAGTGCAAAGTTTATGTCTTATCTTCTGATAACTTCATTATTGCTTGCCTTACTTGTGTTGGGTTGGTTCTACAAGTGGATTCCATCAGAATATGCACTCCACCTTTTTCTGCTGCTATTTTATTTTATAGTCTTTTTAAAAACTCTGTAGTCCACTGCTTTGATATTATATTTGTGAATTTTGTGGTTGAGTCTCTATAGCTAAATTGGGTCCCTTAATAAACAATAACCCCTCTGCTTTATAGGATTAGGTAAAATTGTCTGCACTCACCTTTTCAGACCCTACTCGTGCCCATAGGACCCACTCGCTCCGTGCGTTCCATGAAGCGATATAAATTGAGAGAATTTGTTTGTTCGCGGGAATGCTTAGTCCTTGGTGGGAGTAATATCTACTCCATATTACGTATATTCATATTGTTTACATGTATTGTTTACTCCATATTACGTATATTCATCTGTATACCACACTTGTGAACTTCATTTAGTAGTTTGTATGAGAATTGTTTAAGACACATATTTTTCGACGAAAACTATCCCCAATTAGATTACAGATTCTGACTTTGGGAGCTTTGATATAATGTTATGAATAATAATTGTATTATTGATGTGATAGGTAGTATAACATAAGAAAGATTCATTTGTCACACTAGATTGGGGATTAAAGCCGCATAATTTGTCCCTAAGCATATTTTGTTGTCTGATACATAAAGATTCGAGCAATGGTTTGCAATTCCAATGAATTTATTAAATTAAGATCCAAGAAGAATCCACTGTATTCCAACAAAAACAGGTCAGCAGCTCATTATCTGATGCACAAAAGTTCATCCATAAACTATTGCTGTGTCAAATCTGGGTATTGTGAGGTGGAATGTCTGCAAAAGAACATACACAACAAGACACCCATTGAAACTCTCTTTTTTCTCCGTTTTTCTTTTTACAAATCACAAAAAAAAAAGTTAAAGTATGTGAGTGGTTGTTTCTAAGAAACCTCCAATCAAATACATAAGCACGGAAAAGAAACACAATCGCACCAAAAAAGTATTCCCTCTACTTCAATTTAAATTGTCTATGTATAATAACAATTTAAGGCGGAACATGAACAAAAATTGCAAATATCGAGTCTAACATCTAGACTAAAAGCACAAACAACACACAGGCTACATACTAAGACCAAAAAACACACCAAAATACAAATAAACTAATATAAAGTTATGGGTCATGCTAGAGATACATCAAAATGGTATACCCTATTTGTACACCAGAAAAACACAGACACTCAATATCTATGATTCACAGACATGCTACGGGTAAACCAAAGCCACAGAGTGTCTGTGTTTGCCTGGTATACAAATGGGGTACATAATTTTGGTGTATCCTAACTTTATTCTAATGTTATTGCTACTTCATCAATACAATTCAATACAATACAATCTAGTCTTGTGGTAAGAAAAAAAATGAAAAAGAAGTGAAATCTTTAATGATAAACCCCTCTCTCATCACACTTTGAGCATCTGCAACTTGTTAGAGAAAGCAATGGCAATCCAATCAGGCTGAGCAGCAGACCATTGGAGCTGATTAATATCCGACCCGGCCCAATACATAGACAACGGGTCAATCCCATTTGGGCCTGCAACCGTGGGCAATTCCCAGATTAGGGCCTGCCCATCGTCTCCCCCGGAACACAAGTGCCTGTAGCTCTGTGGGGCCCAAGCGATTGCGTTGACGCCGCCGTTGTGCCTCTCCAGCTCCGCCACCGGCATCGCCGGCGACCTTATGTCCAGTATCACGATCTTGTTGCTGTCCATAAGTATGGTCGCCATGTACCTCAGGTCCTGCTTGTTCCAAGCCAGCCTCAGCAATGGCGTCTCCGGCTGCGGGCTCTCGTATATGATCGTCGAGTGTTCCTTGTCCCTCAGATCGAAGATCCGGACCGACCCGTCGGCGGAAACCGAGGCGAAAACCCCGGCCTGTCCCCAGGCTATGTCGTACACCTCCTTATCGTGGGCTATCAGCTGGGTTTCCACCACACCTTTCTCTATGTCCCAGATCGTACACGTAGTGTCGATGCTGGATGTTCCGATCCGCCGCGGCTCCACCTCGTTCCAATCGAAGGAGGTCAGGGGAGCGCAGTATTCGCTGGTTTTGCTGCTGTTGAGGGTCGTGACGGGCTCGACGGAGGATTCTCGTACTTCCCAGAGACGGAGGTAGTCGCCGGAGGAGACGAGGAGGCCGGCGGACTTCGCTGCGGATGTCGGGTTCGGGTGGAACATGAGCTTCGTGGGCGGGTAAGGGTGATCGAAGGCTAGAACCGGGTTCGGCTTGAGAGCCACGGCGTCCTCTTCGAAGGAGAGAATCTCGACCCGGTTCTTGTGTTCTTCGATGAAGCTGCCGACGGCGATGTGCCGTCGCTGGGGGTGGGCGGAGACGGCCATGGCGAAAATCGGGCAGGGGAAATCATAGGTGGGGGTGTTCTCAGATCGGAGGCTCGATTCCTGGGCTGAATTCTCCATTCGTGGACGAGAAGAGATTTTGGGAGTTCAGTCCAGAGGAGAATCGCCGGTGCTTGGCGCTCGCCTGTGGCCGATGCAACCGAGGGAAGAAAGGTAAATGTGGATAGTGGGCCAGCTATTGACCCAGTCATTATTGACTCTTTTTGGGCCTTGACTCGCTAAATGGGCATAAAGTAGTGTCCACTCCTTTTTAAAACATTAATCACCTAACACAATATTTACGTGTTTTGGGTTACCCTCCCCGGAGACTTATTTAGGGCCCATTAGTTGAGTGTTGAACTCTAATTTCTTCTAAAACCTAAATTCCTTCCTAAATGTTTAGGGTACGTTTGGCACACGTAACTGATGGATTGAGAATTGAATTGAAAATTGAAATTCTATAAAATTGGATTGATGGAATTGAATTCTTCAATTTCAATTCAGTTGACTTTACAAATTCTAAATTCACATACTCCGTATTTTTGTGCTACCAAATACTAAAATTATAATGAAATATTTGTACTAAATAGCACTAAAACTTAGGTCATTTCCCAAAATAGCACTTAAATTGTTTTATTCTCTAAATAGCACTTGATAATGTCCATAATGTCCAGTGATGACGAATATTTACTTGAATAATGACTAATGCATAATGACTAAAAGTGCTATATTGGGAAGAAAAACACATGTGGTGCTATTTAGGGAAAGTCATTATATTTTAGTGCTATTTAAGTAAATTCCTCAATTATAATTGTTGTCTTCAATTTGAATTTCGTGTACCAAATGGAGCGTTACTGAACTTCAAACAAAATTTAGTTTTGATATCTCTTGATATCATGGTTCTACCACGTAGAGCAATTTTTAGCAAATGTTTTTGTGCTGATGCTTGTTGACTTTTTATTTATAAGCAATTTTTGTATTCAATGCGAGTGTGGGAAAAATATTTTTTCGCTAATCTCTACTAATGTGGGGAAAAAATCATGTTTTTTAAATTGTAGAATCATAAGATCGATAATTCAAGTTTTTTAAAATCTATGTTGGGGAAAAGATTCATAGTATCACTAATATTTTTTGTATTTTTTAAATTTATACATAGAAAAAAATATAGGTTTGTATAAGTTCAATAAATCTAGATCATTTATATTTAAAGTTTAATTAAATGATATGTCTCATTAAAAAATCTAAGTCATTTTAATACTCCGCATAGTAAAATCACAAATAATTTCGTATCATCCCGTACATTACACGGATTAAAATACTAGTTACACTCAAACCAATCTCATTAGATGAGAGGAAGAGAAACTTATTAAAAGATGAGACGATGACAAGGCTTATTGGTAAGAAAAAACAAAAAATACACTCAAATCAGATAAATAAAAAAAACTACACGTGTAGGGCCAGATTAAGCTCAAATTAAAGACCGTGAAATGGAATCGACTACTTGGAGAATTCCATAATCCAAGTGTTAACCGCGCAACAGACCTTGCGGAACCCCCGGAAGCCGGCGGCCACAGCGAGCGCCTCAAACTCCTTCTCGGTCCTCTCCTTCCCGCCGGGGTTATGCGCCAGCATGATCACATCAATGTGCACCACGTTCCTCGTCGCCGGGGACGCGTCCGGCGCTTCCGGCAGGAGGCACTCCGCCACGATCACCTTCCCGTCCTCCGGCACCGCCGCGTGGCAGTTCCTCAGGAGCTTCAGGCAGTGGGCGTCGCTCCAGTCGTGGCAGATCCACTTCATGAAGACGGCGTCGCCCCTCGGCACCCTCTCGAACATGTCTCCTCCGACGTGCTCGATACCGGGAAAATTGGGAGCGTCGCGAATGACGTGGGGCAGATCGAAGTTGACGCCCTTGATGTGGGGGTGTTTGGAGAGGATCATTTTGAGGGTGGCGCCGGTGCCGCCGCCGACGTCCACCAGGGATTTGAGGCCGCCGAAGCCGCGGTAGTCGTCGAGAATCTTCTTCATGGTGATGGTGGAGTGGTCGGACATTCCGAGGTTGAACACCTTGTTGAATCTCGGGTCGGTCCCGTGGTAATGGAATGCGCTCATTCCGTACGCCTTGTTGAACGGGATCCCGCCATCCAGCACCGCTTCTTTTAAGTGATACCTGCATTACAATTTACCAATCATTATTATTGTTAAATAATACTAATAATTATTTCAATTATGAAATTTATGATAGTCTTTATATTTTTTAACTATAAATAGATGTAAATCCTAGAAAGAAATCAAAATAAGAAACCTATGTTTTATCTCTAAAATAAGAATTTGTATTGAGATAATGTGTCATTATATATGAACATTTTTACATTATTTTTTGATAATGTATATGATCATAATTGACATTGAACATACCATAGAACTTATATTTTGGTATATTATAAATGTTTTACTTCATTTCAGACTTTTTTCTTGTTAATTTTTTTCATAGTTGAGATTATACTTTCTTTACTCCCTTCGTCCTAAAATTAATTTCTCATTTCACTTTTCACGGTCTCCAATGCGACACTTTGACCATTAATATCTCCATTTTATATGAATATATATTACAAAAATAACATATATATTTCAAAACTATGTTTCAAAATGAATCTATTGATAATAAATTTATATGAAAATTCAATATATTTTTTCCATAATATACGGTCAAAGTTTAAAAAGTTTGACTGCAAAAGTCAAACTGGAAAATTAATTTTAAAACGGAGGGAGTAGTATATACTCGATTTGTCATGTATTCTATTATTATTTGAGCAATATAGTTATACTGTTACTTCAATAATTATTAAATAAGATAGATTGAAATTAATCATAATATGATTTTTTTAATGAAAAGGATAAAAGTTTCAAACGGAAAAGTTATGGTGGGTGAATTTTGATAAGATTGTGAATTGTGATCATCAATGTCCAACTCTCAAGGAAAAAGTGTAAATTCGAAAATACGAACGACGACTAGAGAGTTGAGGTAGTTGACCAGTCGTGTGTAAAATGTGGTTACACGTCAATGTTCCCTTTCTATTTTTCGCTCCACTTTCGCTTTCTGTGTGTTAGGTAGACACTACAATTGGATATAGACTTTGAAGAGTTGACCAAATTTAAATTGTGTTTTATCTTCGTTTCATACATGAAGACAAAATCTGGGTAACAATTTTTTTTTCTTCCGAAATACATTAAAAATCAAAAAAAGAAACATGACATTTGACAAAACAAATCCAAGTTTTATTTTATTCCCTGATACTTTTCCACATTGAAAAATTGTGATATTGGGTTAAGTCTAAACTTACTCATGCTTTATTGTTAGATAACCTAGAATAGATATATTATGGTTGGGAGATTTCCGTCAATTCCAAAAAGCAAAGAAATAGAAGTGTAATACTTCATAATTTACGTCTTTCATCTCATAAAACTTTTTAAAAAAGAATAAAGGTATACCCTAAAACTTATTCATGGTCAAATAGTCTTTTAACATATGGCTAGTTCGCTTTAAGACAATGGAAACCTCATGATGTATATCCCCCACACTACGTTTGGCCCACCGACATTTATCTTAGTTTTGAAGCACGCTTAGTATAAGTTTGAACTCTTGGTCTGTTGGGCTAGCCCGCCAAGCACATGTCAAGAAAAAAACGTCAAGCGCAACCGATAAAATTGGGAGGCCAGTCGTTACACTCGTGGAAGGAGTGTCGGGAGGTTTCTCACACAACGGAAAATAAAGAAAAAATACAACATATAGCTAGGTGTAATATTTTCTCATCGTATCGCCAATTGAATCTAGGATAGAACGTAACTCCCATTAGCATGTGTTGGAGTAATTTACATAAATATGACTAAAAAATAATGACTTTCTCACTATATGATCATATGTTTTTATTTCCCAATTTGGACCAAGTCATTATCCATGAGTCATTCTTCAAATAAATATCCACCGTCACTGAATATTATTCTTCCCACTAGACATTATTAAGTCTTATTTAAAAAATAAAAAAGTTTAAATCTCATATTGAGAAATAACTTATATTTTAATCCTAGTGCAAATTTTAAGTGTTAAGACTATATACGCAAATGCGCATGAACATGCATGTATCCACAAGAAGAATTGAAGATAAGAAGAATATAAATTGAGGATGAAATGTAGTATATATACCAGCTTTCCATGAGGACTTTGTCTTGGTTCATAAGCAAGAGCGGCGCCATGGAGACGCCGTCGGCGTTCCTGGTCAAGTACTTGCACACCGGCGCCAAGCTGTACAGACGCTCCACCCCGCCGCCGTCCGGGAGGTTCCGGAGGGAGCAGTTCAGTACGGAGTAGGTGCAGAGCAGCCGGAGAATCCGGTCCAGCATGACGGCGGCGGCCTCCTTGTCAGCGGCGGGGATCTGAGCCGCGAGCTCGGACGGGGAAACGTCCGCTCCCGGTCCGGCTTTGGCCATCAGCTCAAGAAGGTCCAGCTCTATGGCTGCCTTGAGTGCCATGGGAAGAACCGAAGCGCTGGCCAGCTGCATCGCGAATAAGCAGGCTCCCTCGTCGTCCGGTTCGGCTCCGGTCCTCGGCTCCCTCTCATTTCCGGTCGTCGAACCCATCCTTTTTTTTTCTTCCTTAATAATTAGCCTAGTGTTTTTTCTATGGAGTTTGATGGAGTTGGGGCATTTCTATTCTATCTCCTTATATTGTCCATTTTGGCTTACCTACCGTACCAAATGGTTTTTTTTTCCGTCATTACTCTTGACCATTATCATTAATTAGCTATAAACAAGTACCTAACGCATCAAGAAATTTCCCAAAAAAAGAAAGGAAAAAAGGAATCGAAAAATACCAATTAAAATATTATGGCAAAAAATAAAATCCAATCCAAGCTGAATAATCAATTGAATATTTGGGAGTACTACGAGGTAACAAAAACTTATTTAGGTAGACTTCATTTCGTACACAAATTCAAACCATGAAAATGGAATTGAGAACTTTAATTCTAATTTTAATGTTTGGTAGTATAAATTATGCGAGTTTGGAATTGTAATTAAATTCTCAAATTTCAATTTATTTTTGATACTTCTAATTTAAAATTCACATATTTTTGAACTACTTAACAGCAAAATTAGAATTATGATCTTCAATTCTAATTTTATAATTTGAATTTAATTTACCAAACGGAGCCCTTATAAGATGGTATTTGTGGGAAGGAATATTCAAAATCACAAGTCGGCACCAATAAAAGTTGAATGTGGCAGCATTTCTTAATTAACATCATCTCACCAACTAAAAGACTTCATTAATTGAGGGCTAAGACTTTTAGGGTATACTACCAAAAATACGCATTTTTGTGAAGGAATTTGTGGCGTCTCGTAGGCATTTGTTTCCGTCTCAAAATGGTTTGTGACGGATGTTTGTGACGTATCAAGGGCGTGCGCAATCAGGTGTTCACAAACACTTTGTGACAGAATATTAAACCTTCACAAAATTTGTAAAGTTTTGTCAAGGCGCCATCCTCACAAAGTAACGTTTGGGCTAACATTACATCTTTTACTTGGTGTTGACCAGAACCGTAACAACATTTGTCCCGTCATTTTGTAACGGATTTAAACATCACAAATTATAAATTTTGAAAGTTTTCATTTTCAATCATAACCGCCACTGGCCCACTGCCAATTGTGTGAAGGATTTTGGGATGGTTTTGGCCATCACAAATTAAGGAAATTTTAAAAATTCATTTTTAGATTTAACCCATCACTACCAAACTTGTGAAGGTTTTGGAGCGGATATAGGTTTCACAAATTTTGAACATTTAAAAAAAACTGTGCGGGCGCCGAAGCACCCAGACATTTGTTATTTTTTAAAAAATTATTTTGTGTAATTTTTATTTATTTAGAGCTAGCTTACAATAGCATAAAAACACATAATTAATAAAATTAAATATATCATAACAATGTTTCACCAAAAGTTAAACATACACCATAAGCAAAAAAACAAGATATTGCATATCAATTTAAAAGTTAAGTATTAACACATATAATATAAGTCATAACAATGTTCTAATTAACCAAACAACATGTTTTTCATTAATGAAGGTCTAGGGATTCATTCAGGTACAAATTCCACATCATTTTCTTCATTAGCAAGACTGTGGTGCTTCTCCACGGTGTTGAAACAAATGGTCCTCACATGTGCATCATCAATAGGACACCTTCATATGATTTTAGTGACTTTGTCCTGCATAAATTTTTTTCTGCCCAAATAAAAAATGACAATCAAAGTCAAAAATACAATTTTCATAGCACGCAACAATATTGGGAAATAAGAATATTTCCGCCAGATTTTGCACCGAATAAGATCTTCTTTTGTGCACGCAACACGAGGCGGGCTCTGGGGTGTGCATGCACTCGACTGGTCGCTCTAGTCAACTTTTTAATTTTTTTTTTTCTGAATTTTCGTGGTTGATTATACAAAACATTTTTCTCTTTTGTGGTCATTGACGAATATGAACTGATTATCTTGGAAGAATTTATTTTCATCAAAGTTTTGTCCCCTTTAGTTCATTTTATTTTGAACACACTTTTGGCAAACAGAAAAGGTAACACTTGAGTATTTTCATGGAAAATCAAAATGAACAAATACACATTGACTCCGTATTATTTAAATTCAGCGGAGTAGCTAGAAAAATCAACAAAGACAGTACAGTCGTCCCCCACATTGAAAAGGAACCTATCTAGCTAGTAGCTAGCTACTTGGAGAATTCCATGATCCAAGTGTTGAGAGCGCAGCAAAGCTTGCGGAACCCCCGGAAGCCGGCAGCCATAGCCAGCGCCTCAAACTCCTTCTCGGTCCTCTCTTTCCCGCCGGCGCAGTACGCCAGCATGATCAGATCAATGTGGACCACGTTCTTCGTCGCCGGCGACCCGTCCGGCACTTCCGGCAGGTTGTACTCCGCCACGATCACTTTCCCGCCGTCGTCCGGCAGCGCATCGCGGCAGTTCCTCAACAACTTCAGGCAGTGGGCGTCGCTCCAGTTGTGGCATATCCACTTCATGAATATGGCGTCCCCTCTCGGCACCCTCTCGAACATGTCTCCTCCCACGTGCTCCATCCCTGCCCCCCCAACAAACCATCCCATTACTCTCTCTCACAAAAAAAGAATTGTAAAATAAGTGGTGACATGAATATTTTATTTCATCAAATTATCAATGAAAATATACCATTAAAGAAAAATTATGGGAATAAGAAAGATTTGTGTAATAATGAAGTGGGCGATATATATGACTTGTGCAATATGACTTCTGCGCGTAATATATTGTTTAAAAAAATTCAATGGTGCTGATTCACACCAGGTCCCAGGGTCCGCTATAGCTTCTCAAGAAACAAGCTTTAAGTCTGGGTAAAATTTGGGCTTTGTACTCAAATAGAATTAAAATGGTAAAGGTCCAAACTGGGAATAAATATTGGAAGCCCGAAACTTCAAAAAGTCAGAAGCCCATAATTGTCATAGTTGCGGATTATATTTTGTTGGTTTATTATAATCTGTATTTATTTCCGATCCAAGAAAAGTGAGCTAAAATTAAAAAACCAAAAATAATATTCCCTCTGTTCAGAAATAAAGAGCTTAGAAATTATTCACATACTTTTTTTCGTTTGTTAGCTTATTTTTACTATTCATTTCATAATATAAAATAGGTTATTGCTAAATCCACCCCATATTTGGCTATATCCACTACTTTTTGGGTCAAATGGACAAGTTCATCCTTAATGATTGAAATGGGAAATAAAGAAATAAAATGGAAAAAAAAAGTCCATTTCTTATAAATGGAGTGGATTTAGCCAATTAGGGGGTGAATTTAGCATCACCCTATAAAATAATTATGTCATCTCTTATTTTGAAAATTTTTTATCTAGCTTTTAAGTATATATTTCTACTTTTGAAATTTTCACTTACGATCTTTTTTTCACTTATATTAAAAAATTAAATTAATTATGAAATTGGTCAAACCATGTAAGCCTCAAAGGGCAAATCAACATATGGAATATATTTAAAAAATTATATGAAAATTTGTACAATACAATATGTGACAATCCATATTATGTTAATTTATTTTAACCCTAGAATAGGAAGTGTGAAAATTGATTAGGAATGGATAAAGTATAAACTAAGTGTAGGTACGTAATTAACAAATTCTATGGTAAATCTAAGGTCAATTATAGACCTATATATGAGTAAAATAAGTACCTTCTTTGTACTTAAATAAGCAATTATTCTTTAATAAAAAAATAAATAAAAAAATTTTTATGTGAGAAGATCTACAAAAATGATATGCACTTAAGGTACACGATAGAAGCACTCTATGTAACTACTCCGTATATAATTTGGCATCCGTGGGGTCCGAAGCTCCTAGTCGGGACTTAAAGTGAGTTTGCCTAAGCATATACTTCATCGGTCCCAAATAAAAATTCACACTTTGACTTTTACCAAACTAAAAATTCATTTTGGATCATCAATAGAAGGAAGGTGAAAATTTTATTTTGAGATGGATTGAGTGACATTTTTTGTGTGCATGTGAACATGCCAAACCGCTGAAAATATATGTTCGTCTGAACCATATGTCAAAAATTAAAAGTTTGTGATCAAAGATCTTGCATGTGGTCCAATGACACTACTAAGGGGATAATTCTACTCGATGTTTTAATAAATTGCGAAAATGTAAACGAACAAATAATAGAATTGTAATAAATATATTATTGCTAAATACTCCCTCCGTCTTGAAATTAACTTCCCAGTTTGACTTTTGTAGTCAAACTTTTAAACTTTGACCGTATATTACGGAAAAAATACATTGAATTTTGATATAAATTTATTAGCAATAGATTTATTTTGAAACATAGTTTTGAAATATATAATCTTTATAAAATGTATTTATATAAAAATTGAGATATTGATGGTCAAAGTGTCGCATTGGAGACCGTGAAAATGCAAATGAGAATTTAATTTTAAGACGGAGGTTTAGGAAAAATTTAAAAAAAAATGAGTTTAGGTAGGAGCGTATACCGGGAAAATGGGGAGCGTCGCGAATGACGTGGGGCAAATCAAAGTTGACGCCCTTGATGTGGGGGTATTTGGAGAGGATCATTTTGAGGGTGGCGCCGGTGCCGCCGCCGACGTCCACCAGGGATTTGAGGCCGTCGAAGCCGCGGTAATGGTCGAGAATCTTCTTCATGGTGATGGTGGAGTGGTCGGACATTCCGAGGTTGAAGACCTTGTTGAATCTCGGGTCGGTCCCGTGGTACTCGAATTCGCTCATTCCGTACGCCTTGTCGAACGGAACCCCACCCTCCAGCACCGTTTCTTTTAAGTGATACCTACAACATGTACCCGTGCTGTTTAATATTTTAATGCTTTAACGCATTCGTACTAGCACTTGCTGTTTAATATTTTAAGTGATACCTACAACATGTACCCAATTGACCTCCCATTCAACCCGAATACACCCCTCATCCCCTTAAATTGCACCTTACAAATTGATTTTGATTAAAAGTCAAAAGCTGAGCAATGCCATGTGAACTTTGATGTTTACTACGTATATCTTTAAATGAATTAAGTACGGAATGAATATGCTTTACTCGTCACTATACGTACGGAACGTACCAGCTTTCCATGAGGACTTTGTCTTGGTTCATAAGCAAGAGCGGCGCCATGGAGACGCCGTCGGCGTTCCTGGTCAAGTACTTGCACACCGGTGCCAAGCTGTACAGCCGCTCCACCCCGCCGCCGTCCGGGAGGTTCCGGAGGGAGCAGTTCAGGACGGAGTAGGTGCAGAGCAGCCGGAGAATCCGGTCCAGCTTGGCGGCGGCTTCGTCCGGGTTGGCAGTCGGGAGCTGAGCCGCGAGCTGGGAAGGGGAGACGGCTGCTCCCGGTCCGGCTTTAGCCATCAGCTCCAGAAGGTCCAGCTCTATGGCTGCCTTAAGCACCATCGGAAGCACCGAAGCGCTGGCCAGCTGCACCGCGAATGAGCTGGCTTCCTCGTCGGCCGGTTCGGCTCGGCTCATCAGCTTCCTATCACTTCCCGTCAACGAACCCATACGTTTTTCTTTCCCTTAATTCTCTCTTTTTTTTTTTGTTGTTTCGTTTTGGAGATTGAGGGAGTTGGGGCATTTCTATCTCGTTTGTATTGTACTCCCCCTTGCCAAACGTAACATGTTTCAAAAAAAACTGTGTCCTTATTCTCATTTCTATTAAAAAACTACTTTTATCCCTTACTTTTTTATACCCTACTTATCACATCATATCTTTTTTCTAATAATATAGTAAAATTTGCACAGAATATGACTAAAATATAAGTCATTTCCCAATGACTAGTATGAAGAATAATGTCCAAGCGATGCTGGACATTTAGTTGAATAATGACTAATGGATAATGACCAATGGTCTTACGTTGGGAAATAAAAAAACATATGGTCCTATATTGAGAAAGTCATTATATTTTAATCCTATTCAGGTAAATTACATATGACAATTACAAGTCTCCTTGTAATTGTCGCTGTCGTTGGCCCGAAGCCACTTTCTCTTTTCCCTCTCTTTCACTTTTTTGTGGTCTCTACACGTCTTAATCAGGGCACCGTCTTATACCACCCACCCGACAGTGAGTAGTCCACTGCTCAGTTTGGAGCGTGTTCCATAAAACTCGTAGAATGGATCATTGATTCTTGTGTTCTGCCTTAAACTAATTATCGTTCAAGAGCCCGATTAGAAATATTGTCTTAGACTAAAAATAGTTTAAAAGCTTTGTTATCTAGATAAAATTTGCATTAGACTAAGAATAGTTTAAGAGTTTGTTATCAATATAAAATTGGCCTTAGATTAAGAATAGTTAAGAGCACTATTGATATTATGAACATTGAATATTGAATACTAATTAAATCCTTGAACTGAATATTATGTGCATGATATCAAATAATTTGTTTGCCAATTGAGATTCTATTTATGTGAATGTTCGAAGCATTAGATATTCTTACTCATTCTATTTATGATGTGACATGTTCCTGGCGGCGGCAGATGGGGCGAGATTGTAAAGAAGGATGTGATGGCTTAAATTGATATTTCAAAAGAAATATATTAATCAATTGTTATTGTGATTTGACATTTTTTTATTTACGCTTCCGCAACTTTAAATACTCTGTTACTATTCTGAATACTTTATTATTGAATAAAGTTTGAAATTATTTAAAATAGTTTGAATGTTTATGATTACCAAATTAATACTTTAGTCCGGAATAGGCTGCAGACCTGGACGGATTTATGGTGTTACAATAACAATTATTGAACAAATTTCAGGTGTTCGGATAATTTGGATTGAAGGGTAGACCGTTATTGTAAAAATACAGATGATTTGCAATGCTTGGATTCATGGTGTGAGTAGAAATATAAAATTTTAAAAAATATAAAAATATTTGAAATAATAAATAAGTGATTGCGTTTTAAAAAAGGTTGAGATTTGGTTATTTAAATTAAGATGGAAGGTAGTATGGTTTTAAATTTGAATTCAATGCATTTAGAATTTAGTTTTTTTATTTTCCCAAAAGTGACCGTTAAAACAAAAAAAAATTAGAATAAGGGGGTAGCGCTCCCGTGACTCGTCTACAATCACAATGAGAGTGACGTAGGCTGGGTTACTACGCTCAGCCTCACACAATAATACGGAGTATTTCATAATTGATCACATGCAGAAATTAAGAAAATTAAATTTACATGGTTGAAACGTGGTTTATTTTATAGCACATAAAAAATATAATTTTCTACCTTGAGTATTTCTCCATAAGGACATTAACCGCAACTCAAAACTTGAACGCACGTACAAATAGGTATTCTTACGTAGTACTCAGGTCCATACTCATTTTATGAACTTTAGTAGATAGATTTATACAAAAATTGGGCGTTTTGTAAAGTGTGAGATTTCGCGTGAGGATCTTATGACCACAAAAGGACAACTCACAGTAATAAAGACTGATTAGGCTCTGTAACCACTTTCTTTGAGTGGCCACGAAAAACAATTTTATAATCGAGAGACATGCAATATTTCCTTTGTAAAATTGATAATTTTTTCTCTTAGTAATTCCTCCCACCCGATCCTGACTCCAACACATACTAGCATCTCCCACTCACGTCAATTGCACCCAGTAAGTTTAATTGAGTTTGAAGTCAATTTTTAACGCTAAAGTCAACTAAATTTACATGGTGCAATTCTTGTGGATGAAAGGATTGTTTGAGATCGGGATTGGGTTGGGGGTGTTACTGGAAGGGTTAAAGGTATAAGGATTATCAATTTTATGAATAGAATACTAGTATCACACTCGTGCATTACACATGTCATATTTACGCAACCAAATTAAGATCATTTTTTAATGAAAGAAAATGTTATCTAATAGAATATAGAGATTTTATTATTTTAAGGTATTTAAAGTTTTAATATATAGAGTATATTATTCCTACAATTTGTGGGAATATTGTCTTCGTTGCATATCAGAATTTTTAAGTAACTATGCTTTGTTACTCTTGAAACTGTAACATACAATTTTTTTATAACTTACATTTATTATTATTATTATAATCATTAAGTTTATTATTATGATTATTATTATAAAGTACCATATTATTACCATATTATTATTCTTTAACATGTTTCCTTTTTTATCATACACGGTACCAAAATTTATTAGGTATGAAATTACTTTATTAATACTTAATAATTACGGAGTAAAATTTTACATGTTACCTTTTTTATTACACGGTACCAAAAAATATATGGTATGAAATTACATTATTAATAATTAATATTTAATTTTATGATTTATAATTTTGGTAAAAAAAATAAGGTATGAAATATGATATTGATGTTCGCATTAGTTAGAGAAATCCGTTTTTAAAAAACTCACATGCAGGTACAACAAAGAAACATGTTTGGCAGAACAAGCCCAATGGATTGGCTTCTTAAACCGGCGTCTTATTAAATTGGGCTTAGAAGTTAACGGGTTCATGACTCGTAGCTGGCCCAATATATTTAACCCCAGAGACTGTACTTCAGAGTCCGCATAATCCCCGCTGCTTTTCCCTGAGAGACCGAATTGGAGATGGCGCCTGGAAGGAGTGATGCCGAGAAGAAGTTGGAACAGTATGATCCGATCGTCTCCCCCGATGATGAGGAGGATTACGTCGTGGTAGATTCTGAAGACGGCGAGGATTATGATTTCGGAGATGGTATATATCAGTTCCCATTCTCGTCTCCTACAACGCTTATCGATCAATTCCATCCAAATTATCTAATTCCTCCGGATGTTCATAGTTCATACGCTTAGTAAAATCGTTTCCCTGATAATTCCCAGCCAATTGTTGATGAGTGATGGATTTGCAGTTCATTCCTTTTAAGAATTAAAAAAAAATATGGCTGGGTTTTCTCAAGTCTCCAAACTGTATGATTTTGCTGAAAGTGTGACCATTATTCTGACTTGAATTGTCCAAAACTATATTTAAAAAAAATTTATTAATCTTGTTTACTTAAGAAAACAGAATCTGAGAAGGAAGGTGAAGTTGTGATTTATCTCATCTCATTATCTGCTATCTCATCTTTCTCATCATGGCACCAAATTGGGTCCTTTTTCTGGTGAAATTGACTTCCATTCTGGTTGATGTTGTGGCTATGCTCAATCTTCACTATGGAGTTTTTGTTTGATTGTCATCTTCAATGATTTTACTGCAGATGGTAATGGCAATGAGAATTCAAAGCAGAGCAAATATGAAAGGAAGACTCTTAAGGCCATGTTGAAACTTGGCATGAAACCTGTTTCAGATGTTGTCACTAGGGTGGCTATCAAGAGATCAAAAAATGTATGTTTTCTTCTTAATCTCAATTCAATATTTGTAAATCCAAAACATATTGGCTTTGCCACCTAGTCAGTCACTCCTTTGAATGTGAACATTTGGCATGATGATGATCAATTTATTGTCACATGCCACACACACAGGAATTTTTCATCATGTCAAAGCCGGACGTCTACAAAAGCACCACCTCGGACAGGTATGTCATAATTGGAGAGGGGCGAGAGGCAAAGTTTGGATATCCGAACCCCCCATTGAAGAGTCAGGTTGCCCACCTGGTAAAGCTGGCCGGAATGGTTTCAGACATTAACAAGCCCAAAATCATATCAGAAGCATCTGCACGGGTGGAGGGGGAGGAGGAGGTCAATGATACCAGAATTAAACCTCGTGATGTCGAATTGGTTATGTCACAATTAGGGGTCTCAAGGAGCAAAGCTGTAAGAGCTCTCAAAAGCCATGACGGAGACATTGTGAATGCAATCTTTGAGCTCACTAATTGAGCTCCTGGGAATCATGGTAGTTTTTCTGGTTCCCACAACCTTTGTGTCACATTGTTTTTTTTGGGAGGGGGGGGGGACTACAGTACTTTTTAGCATTAGGCTTTTCCATTTGTTTTTGAATGACTCTAGTTGCAGGTACCCTAGGTGTACACCAAGGTTGTATCCTAAGTAGTAAATCACAAGTGTGTATTGCCACTTTGATAGTTGACACCGTCACAAAATGCTAGCGCAATAAAAAAATTGCACTACTATTCTGTGTCAGCATAAACACCAAAGTATCTGTGCACACTTATGGTGTACAATTCGGGATATAACACTTGGTGTACGAGTAGCTTTATTCTTTTAGTTAATTCAGTATGACATTCTTTACTTTTAGATTACTGTCACAGTGTGTTCAGTTAAATCTTACAAATGGTGAATTAAAACTTCCATTTAACGAGCATTTGGATGGAGGCATGGAATTAGTGCCCATGAAACCCGAAGTAGTTTGGAAAAGTAAACTAGAATTATGTCCAAAGATTTCAATTGGAGATCTTTTTTCAACTTGGGCTTGACCAAGAAAGACTATGACCCACTGTTTAGGACTTTAGGCATTGGATGAAAAAAAACGTGCTCGGTATTTAAGAGCAGGCAATGACAAAAGAAAATGAAATGTTCACATGTTGAATTTCCAAAAATACATTTGATATGATGAAATTTCCACCACTGCTGTTACCATACTGCCAACTCTGTCACCACACTGCCAACTCCGTCACATCACTACAACCACCATCGTCTCCAGACTGCCAAACTTCGTCACGAAAGTAAATATTTAGACATATTCCTATTTATGTCTTTTATAAGATTTTTACTCCTATTTATAGGGACTTTGATAAAATTTACTCTTTTTATTATTAAAAAGTAAAATACCCGTACTACATATTTTCACAAAAAAAAAAATCGAATTTTAAAGAGTGTTATTGGAGAGGGAATATGTTGTAGCTTGTAAATCTGAAATTCTGAATCCGAAAAGTAAAAACCGAATTAAAGAGTGATATTTTCAAATGGATCCGTTTTATTATATACAGAGTATGAAAAAGAATATTGAAAGAAACACAAAATTAGGGAGTACAAAGAAAAACTCAAAATACAGAGGACTAGAAGTGTAGGATGAAGGGGGAAGAGGAGTAATTGGGATTAGCGGAATACGGCGGCGGACGAAGCGGCCTGCAGCGGAGGAAACGGCGGAGAGCGGCGAGGGGTGTGTGGCTGTAGCAGCAGCGCCGCCTTGTCATCCTCCCCATGGCGATTCTGCACCACTTTACCAGTAACTCCGCCATCTTCGAAACCCGCATCATCTTTTCTTTTCTGCAGAATTACTGAGTTAATACGGGATCAGGGAGGACGGATTATATCGATAATCGATCCTTTCCGATCAAGCTAATTTTATTTTGAGGGGATTAAAGAAATGTTTCTTTAATGAAGATGAGGGGAATTGAGGCAGCTGGTAATTAACTTTATAATGGAACTAATTATTGACTTCTTCTGGCAATTAGTGCCGCCCTTTTCACGATCAATTATTTGATTTGGGAAATATAATCTCTCGTTCCAAAAAGGTGAAATTATAATATAGTTTTATACAAATTCTTTAAACATAACAAACAAAGAATTTTTAATTTTAATTAGAATTCAATTCTACTCAACTCAATCCCATAAAATTTAAATTTAATTCAGTTCTAATTTTGTATATTAAATGGAGCCTATACTTTGTACGTTTAGATTAAGAATAATATGAACAGATAATATCTTGTAATGGAGTCAATAACATTCAAAAAATAAAACCTAACGATATATGAATTTTCTAGATTTCGTGCGGGTTATGGATCTACCAAGATTGTTCAAATTAAATCCGCCCCAATTATTTAATGTTTCCTGCCATAAATGTATATGGAGAGCATATATTTTTTAAAAAACAAAAATTGGTGAATCTCATTTCTCAGTGGATCCATTAGAATTGGACAGAAAATCACATATGATAGTCTGCACCTCTAGTACTTGTAGATCTTATGCTTTTAGCATAATTTATGGGGGTGTCTGCACACCATTTAAAAATCATAAAAAATTTACAAATAACATTCACAAACAGAGGAAGTTTGGATGCTCTCCTTGTAAACCACGGGACACCCATATTATTAGCACAAATTTTTTCTAGTATGATTGTTAGGAATAAAATTGGAAAATAGGGGAGTACGTACTTCCTTAACCCTCTTTGTCTTGTTAACTCCACAATATCAAACTAACATGCATATATACATACTCCCTCCGTTTGGAAAAAGTGTTCCTATTTTGACTTTGTGTAAAAATAAGGAAGTATTAAATTGTAGTTGACTTCCAATTTTGCCCTTGATGTGATAGGTAAAAGTAAGATGTGATAGATAGATTATTAGAGATAAAGTATGATGTGATAGGTAGAATATGAAAAAGTAGGGGTAAAAGTGGTTTTTTAATAGAAAGTGAAAGTGTTTTGTTGGAAGTGAAAAAAATGAAAGAGTAGGTGTTTTAAAAAAACGGAGGGAGTACATTATTTGGATGGATGCATGTATGAGACATGTGATAAATGAGGGTTGAGATCGATGGAACAAATCATGTCGGAATTGATTAGTCATCTAACGCACTGTCTCCTCCCCTAGATATGCTAGTGTAACAACAGTTTTTATGATTTTGTTTTTTTACACCAGATTTTTTAATGATATGATTTGCTCTAAGAGACTAAAACCACATGTTATGGGGTGTTACCATTGTGGATTGGCCGGTAACGCCTCCCCTCCCCCACCACGCCATGACAATGGCGACACTGGAGCGTGACGGCATCGTTTTGGACCGTGGCATGGGCGTTGCCCCGCTGAAGTCGCCGCATATTGCCGTCTCTTTTCTAGCCGTTTAAAAATTATTATTTTTTTAGAAGCGTTAGTAAAAAAATTGTATAAATAGGGTGGAGAGAATTGAGAACCTCACCCCTCAAAAATCCACTACTTTATGTATTGCGTAAAAAAGAAATGAATTTCGATGAAGAAAACGACGACTTCTCATGGCAATACATAAATTAGTTTTCTATATATAAAGTAGTTTTCTTCTTTAATAGGAGGGCAATACATCGACCTCCTTCGTCTTCGTCTTCTCTCTTTGTCGGCATCTCTTTCTCCTCCTTCGTCTCCTCATCCGTAAATAAAATATGAGAGAGAGAGAGAGGGAGAGACATAGTTACGGATGGAGAGATGGCGACAACGAGAGAAGACGAATACGAAGGAGGAGAAAGGGGATCCTAGCGGCGGAAGAGCGGAAGAGAAGGGTAGGGTTAGGAAGATAGGTTTTATATTAATGAATATTGGGCCGGGAAAGTAAGTTGAGCTGGTATATTAAGTTGGGCTGAGAGAATGAGTGGGCTAATGCCTGAGGACTATTACTATGCCCCTTCATGAGTTTTTGTACCGTTTTGATTTTTCGGTAAACTATTTTCAACATTTTACTTATGATTAAATGAAAATATATTTTGTATATTAATTAGATAAAAAATATATTTTAAAAATTAAATTCAATGGATGAATTATATGAACATAATTTAGCCCTCAAACTAAAATTAAATTGCATGTGTACTATTCTCACAGTCAAACTTCAAGCACTTTCTTTTTTATTTGTTTTTGAAATTTCATTCAATATTGTCATGTCCATATTACTTTTTTTATCTTTTGATATAATTTTAGATATGTAATTTTTATATTTTAATTCTACATCTTTTTTCATATAAAATATTCGATCCATTTAAACTCTGATTTGAATATGCATCCGTTTAAATTGTTAGAGTACATCCCACATCGGAAATCCAAGAGTAAAATAATCGGTATATAAGCTCTAGAGTTGAACTAAGTAATCGATTGGATTCAATCTTTTAATGTGGTTCAACCCAAGTGTCTTATTGCCCAATCCAGTTGTCCATACCCATCCCAAATTCTATCATGGTATCAGAGCCAGTTTTAGCCCACCTCGTTTGTCAAGGTGTCCGTCTAGACGTTCATTCCTAGCGGCCGGTTAGTCTTTAGCCCAGTTGTCTGTATGGAGGTTGTACCCAACGGCCTGTGGCATGTTTAACACGATTTCTCGTCTGGAAGTCCATACCCAGCGGCTCGTGGTCCTTTAGGTGTTGGCGCTCAAAAAAAAAAAAGAACCAAGGGAATGGGAGTTCATCTGCAAGTGGTCAACCGGTTAGATTCAAAATGGCCCGGTTGTCCACTTGATGGGGCGTGTTAGAGTACATCCCACATCGGAAATCCAAGAGTAAAATAATCGGTATATAAACTCTAGAGTTGAACTAAGTAATCGATTGGATTCAATCTTTTAATGTGGTTCAACCCAAGTGTCTTATTGCCCAATCCAGTTGTTCATACCCATCCCAAATTCTATCATAAATAACCGTTTATCCGATTTGCATTTGTATTATATCCAATTCGAAATCGTAAATATAGAAAATTCAATATTTCCTTAATTTATTGTAAAGAGGAATTAGTTTATAATGATGTAGTTTATAAAGAAGTGTTCCAAAACTTATAACACTGCATTTCGACTACAATCCTTGATGTACAATACCTTTTTTTGGGCAATAAAAATAAAATTTGTAATCTTTTTTTTTTTTCATTTTATTTTATTCCAAACCAAGACTAAATATAAGTTATTTTACCGCCCGTGCATCGCACGGGTACGAGTCTATTTTTAATGAAACATTGTGCACTTATTATCAACACGTTTTTTTCAAATTCTACGGATTATAGAGTTTAGAATGGAGCAAACAACATTAATTAATCAAGAACCATACTTAGCTTTAATTAATCAACATTAAATGTAACTCTATTTACATTTTACACTTTGCTTATACCATAAATAGTCCATAAAATATGTTTCAAAACGCGCGCAATTACTCAGGTATTACGGAGTAACAGTAAACATGGTTTAATTTACATTTGACTTAATTAATTAATCAATTTAACAAATGAGTGACTTCTGGAGAGAGCCTTTTTGAGGGACAGTTTCCAGGTGATAAGGGACGGCCGAGTTTTGAGCAGAGTCAACGGTGGGACGGAAGGGCGGCGTTTCCGCACCGGCAGTTGGAGCGGCGGTGAGTGCTCATCGCCGCCGCCGGAGACATCGTCGGCGTTGTCCCAAAAGCGAGCGCCTCTCCTCTTGGCGCGAATGGTGGACAAGACATCATATTTGTTGCATATTCCCCACACTGTCACCTTCTGCTCATCAAACTCCACATTCACTGAGTATATTCCTGCATATATATATATATATATATATATATATATATATATATATATATATATCCATTTTAAATGGAGAAAAAAATGAAAAATGTGAACAAGTGCTAAGTTGCTGAAATGATTTTAATAAAACTTAAGATATGATGAAACTTGTTAAAATATAAATAACTCTTCTTAGGCCACTACCACAAACTTGAGCTTTTGGTTGAATTGGTTTCTTAACAGTCCGTCTATAAATATGCTCCAATAAATAATAGATACATGAAGCGATACGATGAAAGTATAAACCTCTGAGATGGGATAAGGAATTCTTGATCTTCCTTTCGCAACCGTGGGAATAGAGGGGAACCATCATTTCTACGTATTGCGCTTCCACTTTTCTTCTTCCGGCCGCCAAGGCCGGAACAATCTGCAGATTATTCTTCGCCGCCGCCGCCATAGATTATCGACGATATATATGTTGAATATATAATATAATTGCGCTGGCCCATATGTGTATGTATATGTATATATACGTGCACAAAAGGGGATTGAGATCCTGCATGGCATGGCATTCACATGCATCATCAACTACTTTACGTTCAGAAAGGCGCACTATACCTTCATGCCAAAGATTCCACCTTTTTTAAAAAATGGAAATCTACACTGTTTAGGATTTTTTTTGGGATATTGATACACATTTGAATATTTTAAGAGAATTTTACCAAATATGATTAAAACATATGACTTTCTCACTATAGGATCAATTTTTTTTCTTCGATGTAGGACTTTTGGTCATTATCAATTAGTCATTATTCAACAAAATGTCCATCATTACTGGACATTATTCCTCCTACTAGAGATTATTCAGTCTTATTTAGAAAATAAAAAAATTTTAAGTCCTGGAAAATAACTTATGTTTTAGTCATATTTAGTGGAAATTTCACATATTAATTTAAAAGATCAGATTGTGAGGTTTTTCAAAATTTCTCATCCCAATATGCGCAAAATACTTCCATTACTTAGCCTAGAAGTATACCCTACAAATTAAAAGTGTTTTTGTAGAAGATATGCATGTAATTTGAAAAAGAATAAATAAATTATACAATTATACAAAGTATGTCATGCTTCTGTTAAAAAATGTGATTTTTCTAGTGTGGTTGACTCGATTACAATGTACTACCTCCGTTCCTGAGCTTTAACTTTTTTTGGTCAACTCTTTTCAACTTTGGACCTGTAATTAAATGAAATATATATTGATTTATTGTGTATTAATTAGATAAAATAATATTTTGAAAGTATTCGATATAATAAATCAAATAAAACTAATTTTAATTATATCAATATCTAAAGTCATTTTTATTTATTTGAGATTAAAATTTACCAATTTTTACCAAAAAAATCAAAATAATGGACAAATACACAGACGAAGGGAGTAATATATATTCTAAAAAATGAGAAAAACATAAAATTTATTTTGAGACACTTAATAATAAAAATGTGTGTTTCTTTATACTCCATAGAAGAAGGAAGTATATCTTTTCCGATGGTATATTTAGGTTCACTTAAAAATGTATAGAACACCTCATATAAGCAAATTAATAAAAAAATTATATAAATAAATACTCATCATAACATTACGTCAATACGTACTATCTCCGGTCTTAAAAATCTTTCCTGTTTTAATTTTTTTGTCAAATAGTAACACTCTTTTATTGACCATAAACTAAACACATTAATCTAAATAAATAAGTGATATAAAAATTTGATACGGAGTATATGAAAATTATATGTTAAGATGAACCCAAATATATTAAATTTTAAATATCATTTAAAATACTTTTCTCACAATTTGTAGTCAAAGTGTCTCACTGTTTAACAAAAAAATCAAATCAAAAAAGGTTTTTAAGACATGAGGGAATAATATTTTTGTATGTGCTCGGTATTTACGTCTAAGGAATTTGAAAATAAAAGGATAAACTCCCTCCGTCCCAAAAAGAATGGGACGGTTTGACTTTTTGGGAAATTAAGAGAGGAATATTTTGGTATTGACTTTCCAAAAATACCCTTGATATGATGAGTAAAAGTAGGATGTGATAAGTAGATTATTAAGAAAAAGGTATGATGTGATAGGTAGGGTATGAAAAAGTAAGAAGTAAAAATGGGTTTTTAATAGAAATGTAACGGACTTTACGGGACATAGTTTTTTCTAAACGTAACAAACTTTTTGGGACGGAGGGAGTACATAAGACATATATTGAGTAGTAATTACTCTTCTAGTCCTACACTACGTAAGGTTCAAGAAATTTGATAATGAAAGAAGGAAAAAGGAGAGAAAATAAATTTGGGATATGTTAGGGGTACACCAAAGGTGTACCCCAAATGTACACCACTTGCCTTTACACCATTCATTTTATATTCTTTTTATTTTTTACTTTTTTTTGACATTTTCTTGCCTTTTTTGTGTGGTAATGGAGGGGGTGGGGGATGTATGGGGTACACTTTTGGTGTACCCCTAGCATTTTTTTCTTGCTAAGAAATTACCCTCGTCCACGAATGTGACCTATGAGACGGGATCAATTCTATACCCTTATCATAGAGTTTTTAGACTCAAATAAGTTCTGATTTGATCTGGTCTGATTTAATTTGAATGTAATTATATTTAAATCTATTTCTGTTTCAATGAAAGTCAGGCGAGTTGGTGTGAAATATTAATGGTAAGCAGGCTTGGATAAAAGATGGTACCTTTTTGTTTAAATTGAGTTTGATTGGGTCGATCTTTTTTTAATATATCGTAATTGCTTCCAGTTGATGTAATGCCCGTTCCGAACTGGAATATGCCCAGCGCAGTCCATGTCCACCTAATTTTCGTTTTGGTTCCTTGTTTTAGGCCCGTTGGGGTTTTTAATTTTAAAAGTCCACGGATCCAAATTCGGACAATGCCAGAATATCGGAAGACTCCTCCATTCACCCCAAGGCCCAACCCATAAATTAGTAGTATTAAAAAAGTTAGAAGAGTAGGAAAATGTTAGAAAAATTTAAGAGTTAAATTGTCACTTGATTAAATGACAAAAAATTGCTGCTAGGTATACTTGAACGCTCGTTATGGTTGTTTTGACGGGCATCAAACTCATGAGTTGAAATCTGAGGGCCCATTTAGTAAATTTTGGAGATATGAGTTATGAAATCTGGGAAAAATGATATGAGTTTTGAAATCTGAAACAAATTTGCTTGGGAGATTTAATATTATGATTTAATTAGTGATAAGAAGAAGTGATCGACAACGAGGCTGGTTGGTGGTGACAATGGTAGCCGATGACGGAGAATGATCAATGGTTGAAAAAATATCAAATCCTCATATTGATATCTCTTAAATTTGGGAGATATCGAAACCGTCTATTTGAAGGATTTATGATATATGAATATAACGAATTCGACATCTCTTTTGGCTTCACTAAACACCAAAAAGAATTCTAATATTTGGAGATATTAAAACTTATATCTTATTTGCTCACCAAACACATCCTTAGTTACGATCATTGCGACAAAAGAGGAAAACTGTTGTTGATTAGTATAATCAATTTATCACTATATGGAAGCGGCTTTTTGGTTCTATTGATCCAACTTGCAATTATACTTGTGTTGTTGCCTCTCTTATTCGTGCCAGGTCCGAACAAGAAAATACTCATGCTTTTTTAGTTGGGACTTGACGATGAACAGCGTGGTTACATTCGACCTCAGTTGCTCTGAACCAAGCCGCTCCCTGATTTAAATAGAACATATTTTTTGATCACTCCGGAGAAGTGCCATGGCCTTATTATTGGCCAAAGAAGAGATGATCGTATGGAAGCCATAGCCTTTGCCACAAGAAGGCCTTCTAATGGAATAATTTGTACTCATTGTGGTCGTACCAATCACACAGTCAAAACTTGCTATGAAATTGTGGGGTTCCAAAGCGAACGTGGTGGTCGTGGTAGTGGAGGCTATTTTTTTAAGTTTTTTTAAATGTACTCTCTTTGTTCAAATTAGTTGTCCTTCTATTATTCATAAGGTCAAATTTTATTCATTTTTTTTTATCTATTTTTGTTACTAATTTGATAAAATAATATATTGTCATATAACCTCTTGTTTTATAGAACTTTTGATATATATTTTAAATATATAATTATTCTTTTTTAATTCCCTCTTAATTCTCAAATAAATAAAATTAATAATAACTTCAAGCAAATATCGTAAATCGAAATAGACGATTTAATTTGAGACAGAAAGAGTAATTATTTTGCTAACAAAATCAAAAAAATATTTTAGAGATGTTTCTCAACTTCTGATCTTCGATTTTTGTGAAAAGGACTTCACAACTAGAATCTCAAACATTCTAACTTGCTTCTATCCAAAGCATACGGTGAAAATAATTTTGAAAATCAATCCCAAACACCCTCTATGTAATCCAAATTTCAGTCAAATTTAAATTAAGGCAGGGGAAACAAGGCCTTAGTAAACACAAAATAACCACTACAATTCACCAACACCATTGTTAATTCTTTTATTTATGTGGCCGTGATAATGACTTATTAAGGTGATGTGTTTTTGTTCTAACTCTTAATCAACTTACACAGAACATAACCTGATAAGAGGATACAACAATTCCTACATCATTGTCAACATTCTGATTACCAAACAATAAATTTACAAAAACCACTGCATTAATGCTATATACTGGCAATAGGTAGCAATGAATACAATCTAATCCTGGTACATAGAACATTTTCAAATGCTAACTAATGAGAACGTTTAAGTACGCGAAAACGTACATTCTGTTCTCCAACTAAACATCCATCAAAGTCGTAAGCATGCCCAGCCGCCAATGAATGCCATAAGCAGTAGACTCACAACTACAAGCACCTTTGTCATGAGCAATAGAAATGTTTTCTTGTAAGTGATTTTCTCCTGTGTAACCCAACAACCAATCCAATTGAATCAATTTACCCACATTAGTATCTTAAGGCTACGCTACGATATTGTTCTTAAAGTATAAAATCTTTTCTAGGTCTGCAACCACAATCTCCTCAAGACAGTAGCTACAATATTTGGTTTTTGGCTTAATTTACACGGATAAAACATGAGACTTTATCCTAAGACGATTCACGGAAATGAGGTTACCTCAGATATAGCATGTTTGGATGACACTTGTAAAAGAATTCTTCTCGGAGCATTCCCCTGCATTGTGAGCTGTCTGTCAGATGATTGACTAATATGCCCTTGTCGGGTCCTTAGTTTTATTCCAGTTCCGAAACTGCTGAGTGCATTCGCGGAGCTGCTGCAGGCTCCATCAAGATTCACAGCATTGAGAGCCATACTTCCATTAGAGACTGCTGAGAAGGGTCCAAGGTAGCTATTGTCCATATCTAGATTCCCATTCTCGTTATGGTCACTAGAAGTATAGACCCATCTAGTAGGATTAGAAACATGATGCAGTGATGCCATTGTAGGAACAACATCCAAAATTCCTGTCTTGACCTACAAATACCAAAAGCAATACAACATTGTTTTTTTTTTTGGAGGATTATTGATGAATCTATGCCTATATGAAATGTTGTTGATGTCATGCCAAATAGGTTAAGTATAGTGGATTAGCTTAGTGTGATGTTTCAACTATTCGGTAAGTTAGTGTAAGCTTTCTCAGTGTGGATATTTTTACAAACCCCAGAGTCATAATACGATTAGTTGGTCCATTTGGAGGCCCTATGATGTTCTGTTCGACCCCAAAGTAGTTCTGGCTACCCCTAGCCCCCTCATACGAGTGAAAATTCACTATCAAATGCTCCCACATAG